GCAGGAGTTGAAGCCCGTCATGGTGTTCATCTGGACCAGAGTACTGGCGGTGGACATCACGTGCCAGGGCGATCTCATCAAGGAAAGCGGTTACAACTACTTCGCTTCCATTTTGAAGCCACAAGAGGGCCTCCCCGTGGTGGACGTCGACGAGCACAAGGCCATGTGTGCCTTCATTCTAGCCATGCTCTGCAAGGGTCACAAACCCGGGCAGATTGTGTGTAATTCGACCGACATCATGACACACTGTCTTCAGCTCATCAGTCATCACGACAATCCACTGTTACGACAATGGTCGGCTCTCTGTATCAGTCAGCTCTGGCAGGATCTCCCCGAGGGCAAGTGGCGCGGCATCAGAGAGAACGCGCACGTCAAACTCTTGGCGCTTGTCAAGGACAGTGTCGTCGAGGTTCGAGCAGCTATGGCCTTTGCCATGACTACCTTCCTGGGCATTCCGGACCTTACTGATGAAGTTTGCCGGATTGAGGAATCTATTGCTTGGAAGATGCTTGAGCTGGCCAATGATGGAAGTCCTATCGTTCGCAAGGAGCTCCTGGTCTTCTTCTCTCACTTTGTGCTTCGATATGAGCATCGGTTCATTGTCGCGGCGTTCGAACAGCTGGTCGAGGAGAGGGAGTACCTTCTCTTCCCACCAAACGACGACGGCCTTGACCACAAGATGGGTCTGCATTACGTTCGGCCCGAGAATCGCGAGCATGATGGATCAATCAAGCCATCTGCCTTTGGTATCTCTCATAACTCAGTGTACATGGCATGCTGGAAGTCGCTGGCAATCCTGAGCGTCGACCCACATCCAGAGGTGCAGCGAGAAGCCACCATTGTGGTGGACTACATTCATAATGCCCTGTTCCAGTCGGATGTCGGACCACAAGCCCAGGCTCTAGCAGAAGAGATCCTCAGGCGCACTAGGAAGGTGTCTCGAGGCGACATGAGTCAACGGCACAGCGTCCACGGTACCAACACAGCAGCGGCACAGCCAATGCCTTCGCCTGGCTTATTGAAACGGACAGCTAGCTACTTGTTCGGACCCCTTTTGAGCGGAAGCGACGGTGCTCCTTCTGTGACGACACCACCCGCTAGTCCCGGCCTTGGTCGTTCACAGTCGCAGCGCTCCAAGCGTGGCCCATTCCCAGTTAGCAACGAAGCGGCCACCGCTGAGCAGGTTGACCCTATCACCAACCCAGCCAACTATCACGTTGCCCCTGAGCCTCTATCAGCTGCTTACGAAGAGCGCTCCCTGACCGAGCCTCCTGCCCTGCCTCTACTTTCCACTTTCTTAGACTGGTCCATCGAATACTTCCGTGAACCCCAGATGAAACCTCAAGAGGGTGAAGAACCTGGCTCGGAGGAGTACAACCAGCGATTGTGGCGTAGATCCCGCAACGAGTCCATCCTCCGCGAGACACAACCGCAGAAGACGCATGCCGGCACCCACAAGTGGAACAATGCAATGGCCATAATCAACAACGGATCACAGCCTACCAAGATGACCTTCCACCAGTTTGAGAACGTGGTCGCCATCGCCGATGATGGCAATACCGTCCGCGTTTGGGATTGGAAGGACCAACACAAGAGGGCGACATTCTCTAATGGTAACCCGGAGGGAAGCAAGATTACAGATATGAAGTTCATCAACGAGGATGACCAGGCTCTGCTTATGACAGGCAGCACGGACGGTGTCCTCCGCATCTATCGTAACTACGATGATGACCACCGCGTCGAGCTGGCCTCTGCGTTCCGTGCCCTGACACATATGGTGCCATCCACGGTGAACAGTGGCATGGTGTTTGAATGGCAGCAAGTCAACGGCAACGTCTTGGTTGCAGGTGACGAGAGGGTCATTCGTATCTGGAACAGCGGCCAGGAGATCTGCACGCATGAGATACCTGCGCGAAGCGGTAGTTGCGTGACCAGCTTGACCTCGGACCAGATGACGGGCAACCTCTTCATCGCCGGCTTTGGTGATGGAGCGGTTCGAGTCTACGACACGCGAGTCAAACCGCAGGACTCCATGATCAAGAAGTGGAAGGATGACAGTCGCCAGTGGATTCGATCCGTCCATATGCAGCGCGGCGGACAGCGGGAGCTGTTCTCGGCAAGCAGGAACGGTATTGTGAAGCTCTGGGATTTGAGGATGGATGTTCCCTTGAGGACCTTTAAGACGACGAAGGATGTGCTCAGGACGGCAAACTTGCATGAACATCTGCCTGTTTTCGCTGTGTAGGTGACCCAGCCGCCCTGTTAACCCTTTCTGTCATTCTCGAAGCTGTACAGGATCATTTGCTAACACTCTGTCAGCGGCACATCCACACACTCCGTCAAGGTCTTCAACCTGGATGGCATCGAGCTTAGCAGGGTCGAGCCATACACCAGCTACATCAACTTCAACCAAGCTAGGACCACACCCATCACCGCCACGGCTTTCCACCCTCATCGCATGATGCTAGGCTGTGCGGCCAAGGGCGACTGGCATATCAACCTCTACCACTGCGGCAACGAGAAGGTCGGTGGTGCTGTTGGTTAGATCATGATCAAGCGAGGGGTCTACGGCATGAACCCAACATGGAGAAGGAGAGGTCAGAGCTAAGGGGAGAAGGGGGACGGGAGAGGAGGAGTGAGGAGGTAGTCATGATAATGAGGAGCACGAGGGGCTGAAGCAGGAGGCTCGCTCTTAATAGTGCTGGAGTTGGAGGCTTGGATCCTTGCAATTTTGGCGTGACCAGGAACTGGTTGAGATTCCGTGACACAGGACTGGAGTTGGTTCCACCTTGCCGTGTTTTTCCGCGTCCTCAAGAGGAGGAGTAGCCCACCCTTGTGATGGGTCGGGCTTCATTAATACTTGTGGTTTTGTTCTTACCTTGTTCTTCATCTTTGATGACTTGTCACAGGCGGAAGAGATTGTTATTGCATGGTTCGACTGGCCACCAAGGCTGCATCATTGTGCGGCAATGCATTTTGCAAGCATAGGTACCTGGCTGGCATGTCCTTACATTTTCAGGGGCGTTTAGATTCTGTCAGAAAACTGGCACTCCTAAATCATTAGCACCAGTGACCTCAAAAAAAAATGCCTCTAATGTTTGTTCTACCATCCACTTTCGAGCTGACTCAATCGACATCCGGCACAGGAAGGTGATCAATCAACTTAAGGCTGAGACCCAGCTTCTTCAGAGCCTCCTCAGCGAGCTGATCCCTCAGATCAGCAGACTCCTTCTCCGTAACCAGAACGAAATCATGCTTCAACAACCAGCTTCCCTCTTTCACCCCGTACTCCTTGGCCATCTCGGCATCCACCTTGTGCAAGTCCACAATCAGACTCTTCTTGACGCCAAACACGGCATCACTGGTCTCATATGGATCACCCCTGAGATACACCGCCCTGCACATCAAACATATGTTAGCATCAACCACGCCATCACAGCCGACACCGTATAGACAGTACTTACGTGATCAAATGATCCCACCCCTCCTTCTCAAACATGAAATGCACATGCGCCGGCCTCCAACAATGCCTGCCCAACAACTGCAACAGCTTCCCCACCGGCCCATCATACGGAATCGGATAGCTCACCGGCTTGATCCCCCTGAACCAGAACCTCCCCTGCTCATCACTCCCCATCACACACCTCTCACTGGGCTCGTCCCGATCCGAATGCTGCACGTCATAATGCCCGCTCGAATCGGTCTCCCAGATATCCACCTTCACCCCCGCTATCGGGTTGCCACGCGTGTCCCTCACCGTACACACCGCCAACATGGGCTCGCCCTCGGGATCGCTGCTCATGCTCGCGCCGTTGTCCAGGGTGGGAGCGTCGTGCGTGTGGAACGGGCCGAGGACGGAACCTTCCGTCGCGGCGGCGGGCTTGGGGTGGTTGATGGCGTCGACGAGGAGGGAGAGGCCGAGTATGTCGGAGAGGAGGATGAACTCGTTGCGCACGTCGGAGGAGATCTGGCCCGTCTTGACGAGGAAGTTGATGGCGAGCATCCACTCGTCGGTGCTGAGGCGGGTCTCGCGCGCGAAGTCGTGCAGGTGGGTGACGAGCCGGGACATGACGTATTTTAGCCGCGTGTTGCTGGACTGGTTGTTGATGAGGATCGTGTTGGGGGTGATGTTGTTGATGGTCAGGTCGAGCAGCTCGGGCCCGCCTGTTGGGGGTTTGTGTAGCGTGTCGGACATAGTGAGTGGTGGTGAGTGCGGTGTTTGGGTTGTGGTGGAGGTTGAGATCGAGGTGGGAAAGGAGAAGATCGATACGAACTGCAGTTGGCTGAATGACAGGTCAAAGGGGTTCATGTACTCCGTGAAACTTCTCCGGGCTTGTAAATCGCAGGGTCTTTTATCTCCAATTATAACTCCTCGTTTACTAAGTCATCTGTCATACGGAGGATCATGTCAATGCCGGGACCTCCAGACAACCGGCACCGGGCTCCGGTGCTTAATGTAGCCACCGGTACCTGACATGATGACGCCGGTAACCCCCAAAACCTTAAACCAGCTCGCGAAAGCTCGATTGTGTACATAGTCTTCCGACTCCGTAATCATACTTAAGAACACAGGACACAAACGCCCGAATTTTCTGTACCATGTCTACGCCTCTCTCACGCCCGTTCAGATCATAATGACTTCCTCCATTTCCCCATCCTCAGTCACACTGGAAGGAAGCTCAATGTGGGGTAATTGGGACTGCTGATCGGGGTTCTTGGGGTTGAGGGGTTCACTCGGGAGTTGGAGGCGGGGAAAGTGGAGTCAACATGGGTGCACTTTAACCCTGCAAGGGTTAGGGTTCGCTGTTCGTCGAGATGTCTTCACGACCTTCATATCTCAGACACTATGTCTAACCTTGATGTCGAGACTCGACACACGGTATGCCCACCTTGAACATTGATCTGTCAGGTTCAGTCGATGCACGACACCTAGTAGACTCATCAAACTCTTAACCTTCGACTAAAGATGAGGCAAAGCAAAAGGAATCAAAAGAGAACTTCACCCGCTATCAGATTCGAACTGATGATCTTGCCGCCAGCCGCTGTTCTAAAGGAATTCTTCGGGGACGATGCTAGCAACACGCTCTACCACTGAGCCAAGCGGGCGTTTCTATCTTGTTACTGTACGGAGAATACATTGTTATATATGTGAGCGGTTTGGTCGGTGTTTCCCGTGACTGAAGCATGCAGAGATCAGACGGCAGGGTGGCTTGGCGAGCTGGCGTCAATGGACATTTGGGAGATGTGCTGTAGGGATAAGTCCAAGCTCAAGCGCAAGATACCACGGCTGTGAAATGTTTCCCACCAAGTCTCAGCAGGAAACAGATATCCAGGTTCAGATCCTACGGCTAAAGCAATCATGTTGGGAGTTTGTCCATGGTTTAACCATACCATGAGTGTGTGCAGATAAGGTTGTCTCGCTCGAAGAGGTCTAGAAGCACCACGAAGGTGAGAGGCAATACACCGCCATGTATTGGCTGCACCGTCCAGCCACTGCATGCTACATGCATTACACTATTGACGGAACAGCCCTCTGATTTGTCGCTACCACCGCCAGCAGATATTGTGCAAGGCGGAAATGTCTCGAAATAGCCTGACCACGTGCTGGTATGAGCTGGCGAGGCTCTGGATGGATGAAGGCTGGAGTTTCGGAAAGATAAAAGAACACATCGTCCAGACCCCGACTCATAAATCAGGAAGAGGACACAGCAAAAATGGAAGACTTCTCGGATTCAGTGACATGTGTGGACGAGACCCAAGATGGATACTATGTCTCAATTGACACCGCAGCCAGTGAGCTGCCGGTGGGCGGCTCAGAGCCATCATTCAACATGAATACAGCAGAGCTTTATGGAGATCCGATCCAGTACGAGCAATATCAGACAACTACGACGGCGATTCAATTTGACCAGACACTACCTGCCCCTGAGACTTCCTACGATGTGTATGCGACAGCGGGTGGACAGCAACCTCAGCTCTTGGAGACACAAACAGCCGTGTCTGTTACTGAATACGCGACCTATTCCACTGGCCAAACATACGATGCGTCCCAGACTATGGTCTATGCCATTCCGGTGACCACAACCGGTCAGGACAATGTCACTTCAGGCTTGGTCCAGAGCTACCAGGTTACGGACACGGCTTACACGACTCCAGCGGCTGTAGATGGATCAGCCTCACAGTCCTTTCAGGTCATGACTGACCAGCCAGCCTATGTTGCCCAGCCCGCTCAAACTTATCAGGTAGATGCCTCAACTATGGCACCCCAACCTGGTCAAACATCATTCCTCGCTCAACCTCAGATCCAAACCCAGAGCACCTTCCAGCCCGTTGCCTACCAACAAGTTCTTCAAGTAGCTCCGGACGGCCAGCACTACTACATCCAAGTTCCTGTCCCAGCACAGCAACCAGGCATACACCAGCTTAACCCAAACACGATGCAAGCCCAACCTCTGACTCTTCAACTACAGTTCACCAAGCCCAAAATCCTTCGTCGTGAGACCGCCTCCCAAGCCAAAGAAGCAACAATCAAGTTCTCCAAACAAGCATATGCCAAGAGCAAAGAGTTCATCACCAATAAAGATGGTGCTCGGGCCGTGGCGAAGCAGACGTGGAAGCAGAGCAAGAATCTGACCATCAAGACGACGGATATGCTGGACAAGTATGTCAGACCCCTGATGCCCTTCATTGCTACGCAGGATATGGAACTGGCCATGGCCCTGAGGGTGGGACTCGGTGTCGGAAATAGTCTCAAGGGACCAGGAGGGAGCGTGCAGAGGAGGCCCGTTGGAGGCGGTGGACAAGGAGTGCAGCAGATGGATGCCGCTGCCTTGGCCAATCTGACGCAGGTTCTGGCTCTTCTCCAAAGCAGCGATGGTATTGCTGGAGGAACGGGAGATGGAGTATGGGGACAGACGGATGAGGGCCAGGCGAGGTTGTTGGCTGCGTTACTTCAGCTACAGTTGCAACAGCGGCAGGCGCCTCACCTCAATGTCCAGAGCCAGGTTCAAGGCCAGAGACAGCCACAACATCAATCATTTCAGCCCCAAACTAACGCCAATCCTTTGACCCAACCGGCACAGAAGACAATGCTTCCTCAGATACAGCCTCAACTACAGCAGCAGCAACAGCAAGGGGAGATACACCCTCAGGTACAACAGGTACAACAGCAGACAACCACGATCCAGATGCAGCAGCAAGCACAGCCCAAACAAGTGCAGCAGTATCAAGTCTGGAACCAGGAAGTGTATAACGTCCAACCCCCTGCCTCGGGTCAACAAACCGGGCAAGAACACCCCCTGCCAGCGCAGGATCAACTCCACGCAGCAGGCTATCAACAACGAACCGCGAAGGCTCCAATGCAACATCCGTTCCCAGTCCCTCCGCAACAACCCATGCACAGCAACATCCGGCAACCACTCCAGCAACAGCAGCAGTATATCTCTCAGGTGTCTATGTCCAGACCACAGCGAAAACCAGTGGGGTCCGGTCCTGTCAGTGCAAGTCAAACCATCTTAGGCAGCCAAAGTCCCCTTGCCCAGGCTCAACCGACTAGTTCGCCACCGGTTGTTGATCAACATGTCCAGAGCAAGCCCGGAAATGACCTCGAGTCCAGCCTGGCCAAGCTAAGCCTGGACACTCAACCACAGGTGGTGGCTACACAACCACTGACACAACAACCTTAACTGACGAGGTATGGCGCAAGGGTTCATATGGGGGAAGAAGTTATTTGTGGCCTAGACGAATATGCATTCTACAACATGTAGCATCTCTTTAGTCAATTGGCTGACGCTTTCCTGGATAATGTATGGGAGGGACGGTGGTCAGGGGGAAGATAGGCAGACCACATGCCGTTAGGATTATCAAACATGTAAAGCTCCTTTTCCCACTAGTACATACCTCAGTATGGATCATGCTCGATGACTTTCTACCTCAGCTATTTAGACTGTGTCTCGCTCAGACAACCGAAACGCCACTACCGTTTCCAGTGTGCTAACCTGTCTGGATTGTTTCCAAAATGGCCCAGTCCAATACCTTAACGCCTAACACCAGAAACACCTAGCATGTCATTGAGCCGCATATCCCAAGCCCGTCTCGTCCATGGCATACATCCGTGATCACTCACAGCGCCAGCCCCCTAGCCCCCGGCGTCCAGCGATACAAGCTCAACGCTCGTCGCCTAGCTTTCCGTTCCTCCCATTCTCTCGCCCCGCCATCCCCGCCATCCCTCACGCTATACAGAGTACTCCTCAACACCTTCCTGAAGTTCTTCTGGAACTCGGTCGTAAGCGTGACTACGCATACCTCATGAGCGCGGATGATTGTCTCGCACGCACGTTCCACGCCCTCGTTACTGCCCAGTTGCGGCATCCTGTCGGCGAAGAGTAAGAGGATGAAGGAGCCGTGCAGGAGGTAGATGCCGAAGAGATAGGGCATGAAGGTCAGCTCCGGGTCGAGATGCAGGATGGAGGATACGGCGGTAGAGGCGGAAATGGCGTGGGAGGCGCAGGCGTGGAAGCGAGGGGAGGTAATCCAGTCTGGATCTGGAGGGTGGTTGTCGAGCATGGAGATGGCGTCCCATTTACCGTGAAGGAGGACGTGCAGGACGTGGAGGATCAAGGTGCTGTAAGAGAGGACCAGCAGGGTGCGTGTGTTGGATTTGGTAGGGGGAGCCGGAGCTGATGGGTTGTCGTTCATCAGGTTTTGGATGGATGGAGCTATGGAGGATAATCCTGGGGTGCTTGCGTCTGCTTCACGGGCGAGCAGGCTGAGACTCTGTTCGCATTGGGACAGGAGACTGGTGATGGATGCTACGGCGGAGGAGTCGTCCAGATGCCCGAGTCGTGGGTGCTGTCGGCGGTGGTGTACCTCGATTATATCACCCAGAATGGCCATTAGGGGAAGGAAGTATTCGAAGAAGCCAGTTCCCGAAATTGTGGTTGGGGGCCCAATCGTGCGGTGTTCGAGGTCAGATAATGGGACACTGTCCAAGTTCTCCCAGGTTTCTTCCGGCAGGGGTGCTACACCGGAAGGTCAGCTCATGGTCTTTCTAGAGAACGGAGAGACATACCGTAAACTTCACAATACGAGTCGGGGATATCAAGCACGGTATTGAAGGAAAGCGCAAGATGTCGGTCTAGGCAGTAGATAAGCCAAAACACACGTCGTCGCTCTTCCCTGGCTTCGATGGCAGCCAGAGATTCATCCTCCTGACCCTTTCGGCATGAACATAGCGGATTCACACACGGAGAGACAGTTGCTAGGCACCGCTCGTCTTCCCTGTTCAGCTTCAAAGATATGGTGAGCCGAGTGAGCTTGCTCCACCATTTGAAACAGTCCGATTTGAAGTCGCCACCAGAAACGGCAATTGATAGTAGAACAAGGGTCAACACGTCGTCAATTACGCCCACCGGCTCGTTTGTCGCTGTGGTATTCGGCAGTGCGGATGAAAATGGGAAATGGGAGGGCAGCTGATCAGTCTCAGCTCGTAAGCCCGTGTGACTTCTGCGCCACCTGTCTGGATCCCGTTCAGATATGAGCGAGGTCGCCAACTCGTACAACGCACAGACAACCCTGGACCGGGAGCCTGGAACGTGTAAGTGCACTATATCCGCCGTTTGGGCGGTACACCATAATATCGCGGCAAGGAGAGCAGGCGATGTCGGACGAGGATGTGTCTCATGTATGATGGACTTCTTGCGGAAGACCCGAGTCAAGATGTAAGGTGAAGCACACCGGAACAACGAGCTGCCAGGCTCGGTAAGGTAGACGTCCAGTAAATCCGCTGCTACCGATGCTGGAATGATATCCCGTAGATATGGTAGGATGGGGTCAAGGAATTTGTATTTGCACCCTGTTAGAGGAGGCTTGAACTGTGAATCCATGGGTTGCAGGTCAGGCAGGAACCCTTCTCGACCGATTGACCCACTGAAGGAAGACCTGGCATCGCGATGCACCATCGGGACAGCAAAGGAGCCTCGACCATGTAGTGCTGTTGCAGCGTGATGGTGATTCGGAAATCCATTCGATGGAGATGGATACCCTATGCTAGGCTCAGACCCTGACACCGCTGGCATGCCTGGCGGTGTCGCTTGAGGTTGGTGAAA